TGAGCTTTTTCACTTTAACCAACATAAAGTGGCAGCAACTGCCAGCACCACTGCATTACCTCATGGTCTTCATGACTTGAGCATTTTGCAAAAGAACTAGGTGAGATTAGCTGAGAAAAGCTGGTAGAACATGGGCAGAGGTACTGCTAGAAGTTCATTTTTGGCCCGTTTATAATGACATGTTTTACTTGAGGTGACATAATCAACGTCAATATCTGTCCACAGAGCATCTTTTGCCCTGCCGACACCCAGTCTTCCATAATAAAGCTGCCCATGAAAGAAAGTGATTTACATTTTGTGTTAAAATAGGCGAATTCACCACAACCTTGCAGAGGTGAATTGGACACCCTCGTCGAGCTACTCATGCTTCGGCAGTCTAGACTCACGGAGCTTCTGTAGTCACCCTGACGACCAGTCTTCCGAAATGAAACATTTGTAAAAACAAGGTGATTTTCTTTGTCGTGTGTTAGAACAGACTCATAGGAAGCAACTCAACTACTATTCCATGGCCAACTTCACGCTAAATTTGCAGAGAGGATTTCGCCAGCCTCATCGAGCTGCACGTACCCTGGCCACTCAGACTGGTGGAGTTCCTGTAGTCACCCTGACGACCAGTCTTCTGGATTAAACCTGTCATGAACGAAGGTGAATATACTTTTTATGCGTTCAAATAGAGGAATAAGCGAGGACTTCAACCTCTTCTCCTTTGCTAAGTTTAGATTAAATTTGCAGAGCGGATTTCTGTGGCGTCATTAGACCACACATACTCGTGCACCTTACTAGAGAACAGTCGACTAGGGGCCCATAATAAGTGGTGGCCGAATATTGCTTGTGCTATCTTTTTATTCCCTTTTCTTTGTGAGCTTGCTTTCTTAAGTGGTAGAAACAGCGAAACTTGACGAAGGACAGGAAACAAGGAGTATACAGACAGGCGCTGTAAAAGCACACAAAGAGGCACTGTTTCTGCCAGCTTAAATGAACGACCAACTCGCCCAACTTTCCACTCTGTTGAACTTGCTTTTTCACTTGCAGTTTTTGCAAAAGCCTTTCTTTCTTTCTTTCTTTTTTTGCGGTTGATCACAGCTACGCTCTACGTCAAAATGCTGCTCCTGCTCAAGAGTCCAGCGGGGACGTGGCTGACATGGAGATTTTGGTTTCTTCACCGTTGCCTAGACTCTCCCTGGCTGTGCTGCTGGGCCTTCTCACAAATGTAAGTACTTCCTATGATGCAAACTTTTTTTCTTTTGCAGTATTTTTTTGTGAAGTTATAAAAGGTCAGGCCGCAAAAATAAAAATCCAAGGCACGAAAAACACCAGGGGATACTAAACTTTATCTTAAGAGCAGATGACGCCAGGGGTCACATAACACCAGACCGGCTGGCTGGCAGCTACAAATCGAAGTTTGTTCAAAGTTCACCACATTTTTGTTTCACGGTATTGTCATTGTCAAGCACACAAAAAGACAAAAACAAATGTTACACACGCAGGTGTTAACACCATCAAATCAAAACAGCTGAACCGGTTTCACTGAATCATAAGTCTTCCCGCTAAACCTCACGTAAGACAGTGTTTTTTAAAGTTATCGAAAAGCTGCCATGGTCATATGTCTGTAATGCTGAACCTGTCATGGTCCCTTGTCCTATCTGCCAAACTTTAGTTGCCTGTTGTTGTGCGAGCGCCTCACTGTTACAGTGCCATGGGCATAAGCAAGGTATGGTCAAGCTTTAAGAAAATGCATTTCATAGTTTGGATGCCTATTCTGACTTGCATGTTTCTGTGTGCGCCCTTGTCTTTTTGGATTATCAGGTCTCTGGCCAACATGAAGCGCGTAGTCCGACATAAAGATGTACTGCTGCTTTCCTAAACATGAATTGCATATGTTTGTCACACTTGCTGTTCTTGTTTAAAGACACTTCAGATCATTGAGGAATATTCTTGAGCGTGAATAGCACATTTAATAAATTGATGGCGAATGCAAGTTTTTGTTGGAGACCTAATTTGGGTCATTTGTCAAATTGCAGCACCCTGCAAAAGCCGCAGCATCGGCAACAAGAAGGTGAACGCCCTGAGCGCCAAGGTGCGACAGCTTCAAGAGCGTAACAAGAGGCTGCAAAGAAGGCTGCAACGACAACGTCAGATGAGGACTGTTGCCGAAGTCGTTGAGAGTGTCCGCGTTCATGGGTCTCCTCCTGTCGCCGCACTCGTTGAAGCCCAGCTTAGAATGAGCAATGTGAGCCGGTTTGGCCAGAGATGGTGCAGCCACAGCAAAGCCTTGGCTTTAGGCCTCTACATTCATAGCCCCAAAGGCTATAAGTATTGGAGGCAACTGCTCAGGCTGCCATCGGTAAGGTCACTGCAGCTATGGCTTCAGCGTGTGCCACTGAAGGTTGGATTTTACCCTGGCATTTTCGAGCTGGTAAAGAGGCGGGCAGCTTCTTTTTCTAGAGCCGATCGGGCCTGCAGCATAGTCTTTGATGAAATGCACATAAAAAAGAGCTTTCATACAACCCCTCGTCTGACAGGTTTGAAGGACTTGATAGTGGACAGCAAGGCAAAAAGCTGGCAAATAAGGCTCTCATGTTCATGGCGAAAGGAGTCGGAACACCGTGGAAGCAGCCACTTGGCTATTTTTTTGCTCAAAAAGGCACACCTTCAGATGTTCTAAAATATCTCTTTTTCCAGTGCTACAGCGCCCTTGTAAACGCTAACCTGGAGCCGGTAGCTGTTATATGCGATGAAGGGTGCCTGAACGTGTTTCTTTTTCAAGCATCGTAACTACCGAAAAGCCTTACGTAGAGACCAATGGCAATCCACTTTTTTTTTTCTTTTCTATGCTCCGCACCTTTTGAAGTGACTCAGAAACATGTTATTCAGATACGACTAAAAAGTTGGTGATTACATAGTGAAAGGTTCATACATCAAGGAAGCTTATGAAAAGGACCATAAACTTGAGATCCGTTCTATGCCAAAGCTGAAGGAGAAGCATTTTAATTTGACGTTCTCGTCAAAGATGTCGGTGAAGCCAGCAGCTCAAGTGTTTAGCAATCACTGCGCAGCTGAAATGTATGCCCTGGTTACTTTTCAGCAATGCCAGCCACAGCTGTTCACACAGCGAGATTTGTTGAAAGAATCGACCGTCTCTTTGACAGCCTAAATAGCTCGCAGAAATCTGCAAAGACGCCATATGCTTCTGCAATGTGTAACGGCTCTATCCATGAGTAGTTTCTGAAAGAGTGCATTCTGGTTTTTAAAAGCCTGCAAGTACTCGGGTGTAGAAGGCAGCCGCACTGCATTAGTGGCTTCTGCTTGACAGTTAGGTCACTGCTGCTGCTCAGCAATCACCTCGCGGTTTTATTACGGTTTTTCCCACCTTTTAAACCGCCGTTTGAACCAGGACACCCTTGAAAACACTTTTGCTGTTATACGTTCAAAATCAGGTGCAAACACGAACTCCACTTTCCGTCAATTTCAGGCTGCGTTCAGGCACCTTCCGATTAACAACCTATTCAATCTGTCGGAAAAATCAAACTGTGCTGACATGTCTCTCCTTGCTACGTTCCCAGCAGGCCTATTGGCACCTTCTCCTCCTCTTGCCTTAGGAAGCACAGTTCTTACCACGGCAGACGATTCGCCTTCAAACTACCCTTTGGCCATAGTTTTGTTTAACCCGAGACTGGGGTATTTCGGAAAAGGGACGAGAAGAAAAGAGGCCACAAGGAGGCGACGTCTCAAACACAGCTAAGCATTTTATTCCATCGTATGCACTTTTATACACACCACGTCCACACACCACCAACCAAGTCGACCAATGACAACATAACACCCGGAATACACTAAGCCAAACATAGGCCCAAAACATTACAATCTTCGGTTTCTTGAGGAGTAATATAGTCTTCTAACGGATTCACATATATAATGTTTAAACCTGTGAAGCAACACTGGCTTATAAAGTGCAGCATACCACAGGGCTCCAAGACTGTTTACTCCACTTGGCTTCCTTGACCAGCACCAAACAATCGCTGCGTTGCAGTGTAGCAGCACCAGCAGGTGCAAGTTAAGATATTTTCAGCATTATGGTACCTTGCCCAAGGAATGTGCAGAAAAGTGTCGTTTTTTTTCTGTGTCTTACAGTGGTGGCCTCAGTTGTCCTCGGAGCACTGTGGAACCTCCGAGTTATTAGTGGCTGCCTATAAACTGTCAATATCCTCACAACATCCAGCCGATTGTACAATGTCTTATTATAACAGTGTGCCTTATGTACCGGTCTACTCGTTTTCTACGACCATGACCTTTTCAAAATAGTTGATACTAATTGTATAATTCTAGTGTGTAATCTGAGTGAATGATTGTAAGTGAATAAAACAAATAAAACGCGACTGTTGAAGGGACGTTCGACTTGCATTAGAGCTACTGTTGTGTATTTCATATGCCCAACACACTCCAGCAATTAGATTCACTCATTTTTGGCGACATTACCTCATTTGCTTAAAGGTTTCTCACATATTTCCAAGGGATCCTGAAGGAACAAAAAGCATAACACTGCGGCTGGAGTTTAACCACAGTGCAAAGACACGATTGTGTGTCGAAATGAAACTACTCTCATAGCAGGTCGGCTAACAAAGTCGGCTGCAGAAAAAAAAAACATTTTGAACGAAATATAAGAGCAAGGGCAAATAAGGGCGTAAGCGATCCTGTATTCCAGTATAGAGTAAACACAAAGTGTAAACACCCCAAGAAAAACCCGAGACTGCAGGTAAAAAGAACGACATATACAATAAAAAGTATCAAACAGAGCTCAAACACGGAGCTATGTTTGAGACGTTTTAGTGTACATGTCGTTTATTTACCCTTGGTCTCTGGAATTATTTTTGTTTAATTTTCGCGCCAAACCGCACGCACGCATGACGTCACGTTTTTTCCGGAAGTGTCGTCATTTCCTGTTGATTTTTGGTTCCGCCGGAAGTGTCCCCACGACTCATAGATGGCGCTAAAGCAGCCCCATGGGCCGCCATTTTTTCGACATGTGGGCTTCTATGCAGTTCGCTACCCATGTACATATACCTTGCCTCCCTGCGCTGCTGCGGATGTTAAAAGGATTACAAACGTTACGAGGATTCGCGTCTTTTTTGCGAACGACGAGCGGTCGCTCAAGCTGGTGTCTTCTCAGCCCCGCCACATACTCGCCGGAAAGGCTACTACGGTATGGATTTCGCCAACGATCGCTTTTGCACATCTCTCGCATGGTTCACCACGACTTCGCTGGACTTTTAATTCACTCTGGCTGCTTGGGCACTTTCCATCCAGCATGTCTGTTCTTTCTTTCTCCTCTTTTAGCCGACGGGTTCGGAAGACCATGGATTTCATGTCTGTTATTAAGTAAGCCTGCCTCTTTCTCTTGCCTCTGCTGCGCTTTCTTTTCTGTCTTGAGTTCGAAACATGCCGGCGACGCTTGCTCGGGGCGCCTGCGCGGCAATCGCTGCATGCACTCTGTGTGTTACACGTCAACACCGTCCACACCCTATTCCCACGTTCCGTTGTGTTCTATCGTGGTTTGATAACTGAAGATTGAGCATGACAAAACAAGAATACGAGGAAACAACACAGTAAACGTTGAACGCGTGCTCGTTATGTTGGATCAGTGGGAACATGTTCGTTAGCTTGGATCAGTGGGATCATGTTCGTTAGCTTGGATCAGTGAGAACAAAACTATTAACTTTGAACGTGTGTTTTTTATGTTGGACCCGTTGGACCAGTGAGAACGTGGTTGTAGTGTTTGACCAATGTAGCTTGATTACTATCAGGACCCTCTACTATGTTACTGTTAAAAAAAAAAAGAAATGGGTGGAGAGAATGACGATCGAATAACACGCATTACCTTTCCCCCAGTTATTTGCAGTGCTTTAGAGAGAGAGAGAAGTAGGCGTTTATTAAAACAGTGATGTCATCCAGCGCCTTGTGCTGGTTTGCTATGTAATGAACGGAATAACAAAGAAAAAGTAGAAAGGAGTAGAGAAAGGTAAGAAAACAAAATTAATATAAAGGATGTATAAGAGAATATAAAAAAAGTGATACAAGGTAAAAAATAAAATTAATTGTAGATGTGAGTGTTTCAGTGGCAAGCGTCATTTACCACTTCAGTTCGCTTTAGAACACTAGAGCATATGCTGTAAACGAGTATTCTTCAGAAACTTCAGGAGAGCTTCTGTGGCCTTATAACCGTCAGAAGATGTCATCCAGGGACCAAATACAATGTCGATGCTTATTTGTTATTCCTCTTCGATATTGAGGTTTTTCTTCATTAACTGCCTTTCATGGCTGTACTCCTCGCATTCGCAGACTATGTGTTGGATGTTATGGACGCCGCCGCAGGATGCACATTCAGGAGACTGAGCTTTTCCGATTTTGTGAAGGTAGCTGTTAGTATATATATATATATATATATACGCAACTTTAAGCCGCAAGCGGTGTAGCACGGTTCCATTTGTCTTGGTAAACCTCGTGGAGCCCGAAACTGTAGCTTAGGATCAATATTGTAAAGATATCTGTAGTGGTATTTAGGGTTTTCCCAAAGAGACAATGTTATTTCTTGGCCGCTGTTTTTTATCATGCTATTTGAATGTGGTGTCGAGAATGGAATAGAGACAATAATAATCCTTTTGTGGGCATCTCTAGCAGCTCTGTCGGCAAGAACATTTCCGGTTACTCCGGAGTGGGCAGGAACCCACTGTAGAATAAATTGGTGTCCCTGGCACGAAGCTTGGCGAGCTGCTTCCAAAATATCTTGTGCAAGTTGTAGATATAGGCTACTTTTTTTCATCGAGAAGAGGGTGTAGAGAGCAGGCTTCGAGTCAACAAATATTGCCCAAAATTGAGGTTTTTCAATTCCCGTTTGTGTCTCTGCTGCTCGAATTGCCTCGAGCTCACGTGGCTCAGCTTTGCTTTTATGGATGTTCTCATAGAAGGAATGTAGACTCCCAGAGCCGATGATGACGCCATTGTGGAGCCATCAGTGAAGATGTGGCGGAATGAGTTGTATGATTTATTGATGTACTCAAGAGCAATCTGGGTGATCACCGGCACAAGCATCTTTGTTTTCGAAGTGATCCCTGGGATACTTGTTCTGATTTCTAAGTGGGGGGTACTTCCACGGCAGATATTTTGGAATTGTAGCCGCTTCAAATGATCTGAGGATATAATCCTGCAAAAACGTGACTACTTGGGCAAATCCTGAGGATGGTCTCTCTGTTGAGATATTTGCTAGATGATTATGTATTCGAGTTTTGTGACAAAGATGAGCTCGGGCAACGTTTCTTGTGTCCTTAAAATGGCGGGCGAAACTGCTTGTGCTTCAGCCAGAGTTCCCACATTCGATGTGTATTTCGGCAGTCCTAAGCAAGCTCGAAGAGCTTGTGCTTGGGCGCTTTCTAATTCTTTAAGAAGAGACCATGATACATTATGCATAACAGGAAGACTGTAGCGCATAAGGCCGAGAAACAAAGCATTGTATAGGGCCGTTAGCGCAGAGACAGAACATTCCAATTTAGTTCCACTAATTATTCTGATTATATCAATAAACGAGGTCAGCTTTTTCTTTAGGTGCTTTCTGTGGAGGCTCCATGTCAGTTCCCTGTCGAGAGTGACACCCAGAAATGTGTGTTCAGTGACGTAAGGAATTGGTTTTCCATCGATCACGATTGGGTTTGTCCGTGTGTTTTCTGCTGAATGCCATCACTGCTGATTTGTCCGGTGATATATCAAACCCCGCTCATGGAGGTAGCGTTCTGTGATGTTTATTGCTTTCTGTAGTCTTGCTTTGTTTATGTATAGAGACCTACTGCATGCCCAGAAACAGATATCATCAGCGTATATGGATACTTGAACGGTTTTAGGAAGTATTTTAAGAAGGCCTATTGCGATGCTGACGCTTATGCTTACCATGCTTCAGCAACTCCATCAATGTATCTTTTTTTTCTCTGCTGACGCTTATGCTTACCATGCTTCAGCAACTCCATCAATGTATCTTTTTCTTTTCTCTCTTGTAAACATCATTGTTATCATTTTTCTTTCTCTTGTATACGTAGTTTTCACGTGACATCACTTCCCCTATTTCCACTCACCGGCCGCCATTACCAGGTACAGAGAAACAGACGCGAACGCTGCCGCCACTCTTGTACTGCTCGACTATGACATCACCACTGCGCGTGTATTGTGTGTATGTTACGGCATCAACGTGCATAATTACAACAACAAGTTTCCATCCGAAATGCAGGATCACTGAACTAAACATTTCAACTCGAGATTCATAAAATGCATTATGCGAACCGGAAAGCCTCTTTAAGGTTGGAGATTGTTCACCGCGCTCGTAGCCCAGATGCTGGGTGGGAGCCTGGTCGGTGTTCGTACCGTCCATGAGGGTCAATGGTTCGCCTCTACGTTAAAGGGTGTGCTTGTACTTGAGGCATCAAAAGCCGCAGCATCTGAGCTGCACAAACTCGCGCAACCGCCGAAACAATATCGAGACAAGTGGCCTGCAGATACCACAGAGGTTAGGAAGCTCGGCAACAAAGGTAAGAGCAGAGAAAGTGGCAGTGGTTGTCCATCATCTAGAAGGAGGTCTGTCAGTTCTTGCTGCTTGACACTACCAGACACTGTAAAATTGCCCTAGCCGCTGTGGCAAAATGCGCAGAGTGTATATGTAAGTTATGTAAACCACAATTTGAAGTTCATTAGAGAGAGAAAATGTTGGGATTCTTATGACGTGATGCACTGTTTACCAAAATCCATGTATTACGGATGACGCATGTATTCCTTAACGGTAATGAAGCAACGACCACAGACATTGTCGTTGCCGAGGTTCTTCAAATTCTACCCATGTATGCGAGCCAGCCGAAAGCTCCTGTGTTCCTGGGACAGCAGTTTTATGCTCTCAAACTGTTTGTTTATCACTTTTGGCAAACTGCAGCCTTATATTTGGCATTGTGCTACACTCCTTTGCGGAGGACTTGCATATGCTGTGGCAACCGAACATTGCGCATACTGGCATTACTGCACCACTATGACCGCAAGTGCACATAACACATAAACACGAAAGAAGGAAACACGCACCGATAACGATGCAGCGGCGGGCAGCGTTACTGGCGGTGGCTTGAAACCGAAACTATGTCAGTACCCGGTGATGGCAGCGACATATCCCGTAAGCCCCGGCAGTGACGTCCGTGAAAACTATGTATACAGAGGACAAGGCAGTATTAATTAATTCATAAATGAATAGATGCATAAGCATGCCAGTGCAGTGCCCAGCCAAATGAAATTTTGAAGTTAATTAAGGAGAGAAAATGTTGGGATGCTTATGATGTAATTCATTTACCAAAATGATGTTCGAGACTTCTTGATGCAGGTCGTGCCAGGAATCGAGAATGGTAACTACAAACAGCTTTCTTGCCTCAAAGGAATATTCATGTTGCATTATTCTGGCACCCATCCATTTATTACGACGTTAAAGACTATAGACTCCCGACGCCCCTTCCTTGTGTTTTTAAATGATTTCGACTGGCTGAAGTGCTATTGAATTAATAATCTGAAAAGAATAGTATTCGGCTTGCACTCACCAGCATTCAAATAATGTTTCACCTAATTCCCACCTAATGCTTCGCTGAACTGAAAGGTCCGAAAAATCTGGGGAAAGATTATAACAGTTTTTGGAAGGAAGGATGCATGACAACTGGCGAGTTACCTCCACGCTTTGTCTAATGTATGCAACACACACACTTTTTTGTTTTCTAATGTACTTCAGTTCACCATCCAGGTATGATGGAAGTTTATTTGAAGCCACACAAAGGCAACTAAGTGAAAATATAGAACACTCTGGTCATGGAGGAGGTGAGAACGACGGGGAGGAGCTTCGGTTGTCCTGCCTCCATCGTGAGCTTCCTGCCTTTGATGGTGCTTCGGCATCTCAACTTTACGTAGTTATTTAGTTTTGCTGATTGGGCAGCATAACTGAAGGTACAGAAAATTTCGCAAGGCGTACAATTGCTATTTTTAGGCCGGAGAGGCCTTTTATTGAGTTTGCACGTTTGCTTTTTCTTCCCGCCGGTATAAATATATAGAGGCGTCGCACTACCTTGTAATGCATGTTAAAGAGCGCAGGTTTCTAGTTGTGCTGCTTTAAGTTGCATGCCTACAGCCTAGTAATAAGTT